ACAGACACAGACACACACAGAGACAGAGACAGAGACAGAGACAGAGACAGAGACAGAGACAGAGACAGAGACAGAGACAGAGACAGAGACAGACACAGACACAGACACAGACACAGACACAGACACACACACACACACACACAATCTGCACCTCAAAGGACACGAGAGTCGCCCAGGTTCGACGCACGTGGGCCCTTGAACCCCCCGCGCCTCCTCCTTCTTGAACTTCCCCCTTTGCAGGTCCTCGTAGAGCCTGCCAGGTTGCCAGCTGCACTTAGGTTTAGGGTTTAGGGTTTAGGGCTTAGGGTTTAGGGTAGGTCTGCTTTGACCGATTTCTGACACCGGCTAAAAGGGAACATCGGCTCGAGGCATCTCTCTGCTTGCCCCGGTACGATGTTTCTGTCTTGTGGTTGGTATGTCTCCCTGCTATCTCTCATTTTCTCCCGGCTCTATCAGGGTTCAGAGTTTAGGGTTTAGGGTTACTATCCACCTGATAATATGGCTGACAACTCAGAAACGCAGGGGCTGCTGCTCTACCACCTGCTGGAGGCGAGACCTTGGAGTTCGGTCTGCTCTGTGCCGAAAAAACAGTCGTGTGTCAGAGAAGATGAGGGAAGCGCCTAAAATGGCAGAACCCTTGGCCCCCAAAGCCCTGAACCCTAAGTGCCCCCTTGGCGCAAGCTCGGCTCTTCGATATTTGGGGCATCTGGGCGGCAGGTGTTGGGTAGCCTGGGGGAGAAAGCAGCAAGCCACAAACGTTGAGATGTAAAGCAAAAGGCTTAGTGTGTAAATTCTTCCTAGCCTCCTAAATAAATACAGCCCCCAAGCCCCTAAACCCTGAAGCCCTTCTTGAAAATGTTTAGAGATCTCGCAGCCAGAGCTTTAGGACCCTAACTTCTGCATACATTGCAGCTCCAGAGCCTCTCGTTTACAGTCCTCCGACGCTCCACCACCCTAATGTAGGGGCCTTCATAATCAGAATAGGGTTTAGGGTTCAGGGTTTAATGTAGGGGCCTTCATAATTAGAATAGGGTTTGGAAGTTTATTATACCATAATTATAAGAAGGAGCCCCCCAAACCCTATTCTAACGATTAAGGCCCCTGCATTACCGGTTGAAGTTGCCTCGATCGACGTCGGCCCTGTCTGGCCTGGGGAGTTGCTGTAGCGCAGTACGTGCGACCCGTTTTGCTGAAGCTATCGGATACTTGGAGGTTCATGAGTAGTTATAAGTGGGGTTATAAGTCCCCTAATAGGGGTTATAGTTATAGTTACCCTACTAATAACCCTACTTATAACTACCCATGAACCTCCAAGTAGGCCAATTTTACAGCCCTATAAACGACTAAAAGCCCACATGGGCCCTAAACAATAGATAAGCAACAACATGAATAAAGACCCTAAATCCCTTAACCCTGAAGGGTCCCTCATAACCTAGACCCTAAACCCTAAACCCTAAACCCTAAACCCTAAACCCCTAGACTCTAGATCCTAAACCCGTCACGGAGAGACTCCGCTACCGGCCTCTCGCTGTACCTCACGTAGCACTCGCGCGCAGTCCTTCGAAAGCCCCTGGCTCGGTGGCGATCCTTCCTTAGGAGCTTAGGGTTTAGGGTTTTTAGGGTTTTTAGGGTTTAGGGTTTATAGGGTTTAGGGCTTACAGGGTTTATAGGGTTTATAGGGTTTAGGGCTTATAGGGTTTATAGGGTTTAGGGGCTTCTAAGCTGCCATAACAAAGTTTACGTAACAGAATCTAATCTAATACAATGAAATAGAATATCGTAGGGTTCTATAGTAGGGCCTTCTAAGCTTGGGTGGGCAAACCCAGACTTGAGGTTTGGGGGGTTGGGGCTCCTTGAGCTTTTTTTTTTGCGGATGGTGTAGGGTCCTTTATTGCTTTGGGTGCCGGCCCACAAAGCCAGGGCCCGGTTACCGTTCGGGTTTGTTCCCACCCGCCCAGCTGACAAAGTCGCAGCGCAGGGAGTTCGTTTCGGACTACTTGGAGGTTCATGGGTAGTTATAAGTGGGGTTATAAGTCCCCTAATATGGGTTCTAGGTATAGTTACCCTACTAATAACCCTACTTATAACTACCCATGAACCTCCAAGTACTGGGAGGTTTCAGGGGGGAACCATGGGTTCACGCTCTCACAACTAGGTTTTTTTCCCTCTCGCATGGCAGAGAACAATGCTCACAGGCGAGGTTCAACGGGATGGTACAGTGGCAAGTTTTGGAACGTTGAATTCAGCTCTCTTCATGATGACAACTAGGGTTTAGGTTTTAGGGGGCTTCGGAAATGCGCAGAGTTGAAGAATCCGACCGCCACGGTCTCTGCTCTAAGACCTGACCACGGCGTTTCTGAATCCTAAACGCTGACGCTTGGACCCTATATAACCCTATCAGTTGTAATCTGTAAGCCGCAATCCCTGAACCCTAAAAAACCTTAAACCGGAACCTCCATGCAGCTCAGCCTCACCTTCTCCCACTCAAGCTTGTATTTCCTTTTCTTCCAAAGCTCCTACAGACTTTCGAAGAGCGGCGAAAATCTCAGACACAGGGATGTCTTTAATACAGGGCCTTGATACCTAGAATAGGATTCAGAGGTGCGCTGCACAAGAAGATGCAACGCTGGAAGTATTTGTGGGAATACTGTATTGCTCGTTATTCCGACCCCACCATATTACATGAGCTCCTCCCCAGCGAGGTAAGGGTAAGCGCCCAAAACATCTCTGGGCCCTGAGAACTGATCGTGCAACCCGCTCCAACAGCCCAACACAGGTGCCCCACCCACTCCTTCGTAAGCGCCGTTGTCAGCTCTTGTTGCTGTTGCATGAACCATTCGCCCCGCTCGCGCGGGGTCATCGTCTGCATCCTTTCTCTGTATCCCTGGCGGATCAAGATGGTCGAACTTAATTGCGGAAAAGTGTGAAGGGCCCTAAATTTATCAAACCTCGAAGCTGCCAAGAGCTCTCAGAATCTCAGGTCCAAAGCACCCGGCCTCCCGGAAGACTTCCTCTATGAGCTGCTGTCGGACGACATCAGCCAGCTGCTCCTCCTCCTATGAGCACAAAAAAACCAGCGAAGATATGAGATTGCCCAGACTCTGAAGGAGAATCGACGTTTTGGCCCGAGAATCGCCAGCCCAAGCTCGCATCGCTGTTTGGATCGAAAGGGGCCGCCGCTGCAGCTCCCACCCTTTCAACTTCAAGCTCCCACAAGACGAAGGACCCCGGTACCCCGGATTCCCCGGATCCGAAATCCCTGGTTTTTAAACAGGGGAACGGCTATATAACCCTGTCCGTTCGCAAAGCCAAAACGCTGAACACTCAAAACCTCCTCAGTCCCAAGCATCTAAACCCTTTGCAACTGGCTTGCAACGTCACAAAAAGGACAGCTAAACCCTAAACCCTGAACGTCCAGATGCTAAATCCCCGAACCCCGAGAAGGCCACGACGTCCTTCTTGCTCCACTTGGCTTCCTCGACATCGAGCCCAAGCTTTGCCCGGAAGATATCTTTCCTTCCACAAGCAGGCGGGAGCATTTCAGGTGCCTTTAGAGCCTTACCCTCAAGTAGTCTCAAATACCAGTGCTGCACTAGCTGCTGCCGGTAGCTTCAAACATGGAAATGACTTATCAGCTGGTTCTCATAAATCACAAAAGGTATACGCATAATCATTACGACTCGCTGACTCGTACCTCCTCGTCTTGTCTCGATGTGCTGCTCAGTCTCATGGTGATGCAACGGTCTTTCCGGGAACCATGGCAATGGAAAGTGCCCACCTACCCACCTCGCTCAACTGACATCCCGCGCACTACCATGTTGCACTACACTATACTAGACGAGACGATTCGATTTACTACTCTAGACTGTGCCATGCTATGCTACTCCTCTCCTTCTCTCTACATACACATGCACGCACACATACCATGGTCTGCTATAGTGTATCTTACAATATTATGTTCTGAAAACATTAGCAGTGGCATTCCAAAAAATACTTACTAGCATACTAGGCACTGCAGGGCAGTTTTTGGCCGGCTCCTGATGGTGTGCAGGTTCTTCGGCGCGACCCTCGCCCTCACAGTCTTGTCTGCCAAATGGCGCGGGTCCTCCCGCGCAGGGGGCAGGATCTGCGTAGAATTCAGGGCTGGCTCCAACAAACGTGCCTGTTCAAAGTCCTTCACACCACGACCTTTTGCCCTAAAGCCAATAGCCCTTGTATCCTAAGACTCAAACCGAAATGCCCAGCCTCCCCAATTTAGGTGTGCCTCAAAGAGGGACCGCGGCAGCTCTCGAGTGGGACGAGGACGTGGCTTGATCTTGTACCTCAGGCATCTCGCTGCGGACTACCGAGTCGCTTCGCCTGGGAGTCGTACATTGATCTGCCGGTTAAGGTTTAGGGCTTATTCTCTCCTCCCTAGCAAGGACAAAGCGGTTAGGGCTTAGGGTTTATAAGTATCTGAGTTTGAGCTGTGCTCCATTGATATGCAATTGATCAGCTAACCTCTCCAGAATCCGCAATGTCTTTTGCTGAAATCACACCGTACAGATTACATCAACCTGGCCAAGGGTGCTCGATCTTTTCGCTTTCGTAGCCTCTCCTTCTATCGTTCTGGAACTTCAAGAGTGCCTGATCGGTCTCAAGCCTTTTTTTGAGAAACCCTAAACCTGATCTAAGGGCCTTCATGATTGGAATAGGGTTTTGGGGGCCCATTATACTATAACTGCAATAAGGAACCCCCAAAATAGCAAAGATAATTATTTTAATTATTAAGGCCCCCACATGAAACCTTTGTGCCGGTCTTGACACAAGTTACTTTGGTTTCAGCTTTCCGGCCTGGCCTGGCCTGGCCAGGCAGGCAGGGGTTTCAAAATATCTCTGGGGTCCTCGCTAAAGACACCACGTCGGGTCTACACTTGGGTTCAAGCGAGAGACATCAACAAGCAGTTTTAAGTCGTGGGCCCTGGCCAACGATCCGGCCAGCATCTACAAGGACGAGACTACAGCCTGCGACGTGTTGCCGTTGAGGTAAACGGCCAAAAATGGCCAGAAGCTGCATTTCCCAAACAACGCAGGACCCTGGCGACGTCTGTCCAATGCCGCAGTCCGAGTTCTCACCCGTTTAGCAACTGCAATCAACCGGCACATCCAACACAGATTTCACACCGAAAGTGCCCAAGCCAGCTTTTGGATGTGCAAGTGTCTGGCACTATTTTTGTGGGGCCGAAACTGCCAAACCTGGTCCTCAACACTTCAACTGTGGCCCACGTGCCTTGGTTATGGAAGTCTGTAGATGGCGGTTCTTCTTGACCCTCGACAAGGGATGGGTCGGGTCCTGGTCATGGTGCGCAGAGGTCTGGCAGGTTCTGAAGAAGATATGTCTGACCTTCCTTGCTACCGACTGGCATGTCTGGTCATTGGTCATTAATATTAATTAAGGCCCTAAACCCTAAACCCTATAGCAACGCTGTGCCAAGCTCAGGCCATGGTTCTTCTCTGAACCAGAGAAAGTCGCGCTAGAGAGATTGCAAGAAGTGTGCGAAGCTTGGCGGAATCCAAACCAACTCTCTCCGTAGAAAGCTAAAAACACTTATAGTAGGATCACTCCCCAGTCTATAATTCTAGCACTTCTCCTTTGTTCTATTGTCCTCAAATTAGTAAATTGTATAACCCAAGGCTCTCCTCCAGGTTTTCGGAGTCGGAATCCTCTACACAGGCCACAAGCAGATCGGCTTCGCTGTCTTTGTGTCGCCCTGGCTTTCCTCGGTGTCGATCTCAAGAGCCCCCAAAACTACTTGTAGTTTAGGGTTCAGGGCAGTTTAGGGTTTAGGGTTTCCACGAAAAATATGTATAGCTGGGGCTCTACATGAAAGCAATCAGGAACTTAAAACTAAAAAACAGACCCAAGTCTGTAGCTAGCTTCGCTTCCCCGAGCCCCAGCTGAGATGCAAGGGCTCCACTTTCACCGTCGACTCCATGGCTCAAGAAACCAAACATCTTAGGGAACGCCGTCTGAGGACTAGGACAGAAGTTTAGGGTCTAGGGAGTCTAGGGGTTCGGGCTGTAGAGGTTTCGGGTGTAGAGGTTCTGGGCTTAAGGTCTAGAGGTTTCGGGCTTTTGGGCTTCATGTAAACCCATGGTGCCATACGCGGCATATATAACCCAATCACTCTACACAGCTTCGCGATGTGAGGAACGGTCTCTGGCTATGCTTCAGGAGTCGGCCTCATGCTTGTAACCTGTGCTCTGACTGGTGCACTCAGCAGTGGTTTTAAAGCTAAGCCACGCGACATCGTGCGAATCATGCATCTGCCTTGCTCACGGTGCCAGAGCATGTCATGTCTCAGCACACAAACTCTCACGGCGGCGGCGGCCGCAGCTTTGCAAACATGTATCTCCAGTTTGAAGGCTTAACCAAATCTATGTTTCAAAATTAAGACTATTCATTTTTTGAAATTTTATCATCAGTTCGCCGACATCATCCATTATAGGTTCGAGAGAACACCTCTGGTCCATTGCCGAAACGTCCGCACAGCCGCCAACCCATGCAAGCCAAGCGTAAGCAAACAGCCGCTGTTCGCGCCTCCTTCGGCAACGGAGAGCCGCCAAAGATTCCAGACGCCTGGCCACACCCCCTCCAAGCATTATAGGCAAAGCATGCCGCGACCCAAAACAAATCGCTTCACCCCACACCCAAGCCATGCGCAGGACACCCAGCAGTCCAGAACATCTCGGAGAATGGCCTGGCAAGAGCCAAATACCAGCCTACCAATCGAACCGTTCTGTCGATGCTTCAGCATTGCAAACTCCGACGGCTTGCCCCACTACGTCACTACAGGGATGGAACATCGTAGCGACAGGCCATGCAGGGGCTCAACCAAAGAAGAATCTGAAGGCCTTCTCCTCCACGCAGATGCCCGTGCTGGAAACCTTTCAAAGCAGGCCCAGAAAGCTCGCAACCGTCCTCAGAATCCTCACAGCTGCGGTTTGACGCAGTAGCCGAACTTCCATGCTTGTGTCGTAGGACCGGCGGAGCAGCCATCAACATCTCCCTGTCAAGTTGGAAATGCTCGTCTGACTGCCCTCAATATGTAAACCCTTTTGCAGCAGGCTTCTCTCGCCTACCCTGCACTTTGAACTTAATTCAGCCCATATCCTGCAGCCCTACAAGCTCTAGCCCACTGAGCAAGGCGCAGTAGATTCGCCAGGGACGACACAGCGGATCGCAAGAAAGATTTTCCTGGGCTCCGAGGTCAAACCCCTCGTCTTGGCAAAGAAGGAGGGAGCAGAAATGTCACACAGCACAGGGGTATGTCTTCGAGACTCATGGAGGTTCGCATTGTCGGGGTTCTTGTATTCAGGACCCTACTTCCATTCAGGGTGCACAGTGCGGCCCCTTGGCTGTGAAACATCCATGGCCATTCTGCATTAGGTACTCCATTGGGCAAGGCCACGGCCCCTTGGGCCCCCTACGACACAGTGAATCCGCTGGCAAACCTAGCTACCTAGTTGTTGTGACTGTGGACCGAGGACGTCGTCCATCACGGGCTGCCGCATGTGCATGCCACTGCATCCCGGGCGCATCATACAAGAGACTGCGTTCACTTCTGCAGAGTCGGTTCCGTGCTTTTCAGTGTCAAGTACAAAATGCCTGCTTCCATGATATTTTCAAGTTCTGTCGGATATTATCGCTGATTTATGAAAGTCGCCGCAGAGCGCGGCGAGGCATATTGCCTTTTGACTGCACAGTGAAATCACTCTGGTACATAATACCATACTGCGATGCCATCAACACTAAACCCTAAACCCTTAAAGCCACACTCCAAGCCTCGAGGAATGACTGCAGCATGTCCCCTCAGCTGCAGCTGAGGCGCCGGTTCAGAGAAAGGAGCCTCCAACTCTGAACGTCAGAGTTACGGGTTGCGTGAGGGGTGAATATGGGGGTTTCCGAAATAGGGGACCCTAATATAGTACCTTGAATAGTAGGATCCTTATTATAAGGACCCCAAATAAGGCACCCCTTATTTTCAGAAACTCCCGTATCGAGTCTGCAGGGCGAGGGCCTTCGGGGAATTCTTGGTGTCTGCAGCTGTGGAGTCAGGATTTATGTGGCTTAACGGGAGTTTCGGCACTCACTCTTCGGGAAAAACGGCCGCGTCTCGATGATTGGAGACAACAACAAAGTGCCCCATGAGTTTATGGCATTTTGGGGGTTATGGCTTAGGATAAGGATTTTTTGTCTCTGGCACAGGGTCTAGGACATATGGAGCTGTGGGCGGTTCAGGGTTCAAGTAATACTAATACAGGGTTTAGGGTTTTGTTAGGGATGCTCTCGACGGCGGAATCACCGGAATGTAGTGAGCAAGCTCTTGTTTCAATCACCGGGATATTCAAAGTCTACTGCAGCAACGAAGGTTTCCTCCATGTGAGGTGTGAGAGGCAAGCTCGGCCCCCATGAGGGAATCTCATCATGTACTTATGCGACTTCTTTGTGCGGACTGCCGCAAAGCAGGGGGAGAGGGCCTACGATGGCCGCCGCAGATCTTCAACCCCCGAGCCAAGTCTGCGGGCTGCCTGAACACTCGCAAACACCAAGCGAAGCGAAGTCTTAAAAAACCCCTATAACTCCCCTGACCTGCTACGAACCCGGCGGCAAACCAAGCCGTCAAAACCCTAAACCCTAAACCCTAAAACCCTAAACCCTAAACCCCTAAACCCTAAACCCTAAACCCCAAACCTTCAAAACCCTAAACCCTAAATGCCGAGACGAGAAAAGCAGGTCGAGCCTCTTCTCCTTGCTTCTACCGCCTGTTTTTGGCTTCTCCTGCCCAAAATGGGGGTTTCCGAACATAGGGGACCCTAATATAGCACCCTAAATAGTAGGATCCTTATTATAAGGACCCCCAAAATAGGTACCCCCTATTTTCGGAAACTCCCAAATAGACCACACGGGCAGTTCTTTAAATGAGGGTCCCTGTTAGGGTCCTTTTTCTCAAAGGGTGCCGTACTATATTGGGGACCTGAAAAGGGGACCTTAATTTAGACCAACTTCAACATACCCAAAATCACATCACCGAAGAGCTCAACACCCAAAAACCGTTGCTTTGTGGTCCTTCTTAAACCCTTTTTAAAGACAAACTGAGGTGCCGGCCAGCGCCCATGCTACCCTTACCCCGTCTTAAACCCTAAGCCCTAAACCGTTGCCTTGTGGTCCTTCTTAAACCCTTTTCCCTAAACCTTTGCCTTGTGGTCCCTCTTAAACCCTAAGCCCCTTTTGCATAAACCCTAAACGGCTGTCCTTCTTAAACCCTAAACCCTAAGCCCTAAACCCCAAATCCTAAACCGTTGCCTTGTGGTCCTTCTTAAACCCTAAGCCCTAAACCCCAAACCCTAAACCGTTGCCTTGTGGTCCTTCTTAAACCCCAAACCCTAAACCGTTGCCTTGTGGTCCTTCTTGACCTTTGCCTTGGCAGCTGTCGTGTCGCGGACCCGGATCTTCGGGCTCTTCACTTTTGGTATCTTCGGGCTCCGTGGGATCCTCTCAGGAAGAGCTTGGGACAAAAGCCCTATAATAGAACCCCCAAAAACCCTCTATATATAGATAGATACATAGATAGATAGATAGATAGATAGATAGATTGATAGATAGATAGATAGATGTAATAGCCCAAGCCCTAGCCCTTTTTAAACACAGGGTTGATTGGAGCTCGCCCGGCCAAGTTCCCTTAAACCCTAAACCCCACGAGCCATTGCGACCCCTATCAGCCCAAAAAAGACGCAGTCTTCAAAAGCCCTATAGAACCCCCCCAAAAACCCTTATGTATGAGCCCAAGCCCTAAACCCTAAAGCCCTAGGAGCCATTGCGACCCCTATCAGCCCCAAAATAACTCAGTCCTGGGGCTTCTCATCACTTTCTTCTCTTGCGCCATGGCCCACCTGCCCTGAGCAGCATCGATTGGGGCGGGTCACTGTGGCCACGGTTTAGGGTTTAGGGTGTGCAACATATCGGAGTTTCAGAAGGCAGGGACCCTTATAGCGTAAAGCCGGAATTCATCGAAGGTTTTTTTTTGATTCTTTCTGGGGGAACCTCCGTGTGCCCGAATAACCAGATCCTTGACGTGATGGTTGTATTGACTGCCAAATTATGCACTCCTGGTATATATCTGAATCTAAACTTACATAAATATGATTGTTTCAAGAAGCCCTATATGGATAGGGACCGCCCCCCAAACTCTAACATTGATCCTCGATCCCCCACCAGACTAGGATTGGGGTTCAGGGCATCGATGAAAAGAAGGCTCATAATCGAATCCTGACATAGGGGCCTCAATAATTAGAATAGGGTTTGGGAGGAAATCGGTATATGATGCTATAATTCTAATAAGGAACCCCCAAAACCGAGTTCTAATTATTTAAGGCCCCTACATCAAACCCGACTCTCTTTCAAAGCAACATTCGGCTTCCACCCTCCCGCCCCCACCTCGCTGCGCGGTGCAGGCTGCCCCCCACCCGCGCTGCGATGCAGCTGCGGTGGCAAAGAAGAGGCTTTAAGGAACATGCTGTGAATGCAGGACGAGAGAGTCGGCTTGAATACCACAGAACTTTGCACTTGCTCAGGAATCACTGCGACTTTTGAGCACGTCGGCTGTATCAAAACTAGGCTGATCAATGGCTTGGGCTAGCGGGTCCGGTTGCCCCCGCTGTGGCCACTCTATAGTAAAGCGACGAAGGCCAACTTGGAAGGTGGGCCCGAATTTGGGGACTCTAAACCCATCTGGGCGAGGTCCATCTTCGAAGCCCTTCTTGTGAGGGGCTGAGAAAAATTCATTGGGCGCTGGCATCAGTGGCTTTATTCCGAACCGATGCCGAAATGTACAAGTGCCCAGGACTGTTCTGCTTGTTTTTCTGCTGGCTGCATCTCCGGCACGCCTGGCATGTGTAGCCCGAAAAGCACGCCATGCCGTGGGCAGCAACCCAAGCAGGCTTCAAAACACGAATTACGAATTCTGCTCCGCCTGTTGGCAGTATTCGAAGCTACTGTTACTATGAGGGTCTTAATACTTCATTATTGGAATAGGGTTTTGGGGTACATGATTGGGGTACATGATACTACAATCAGAAATAGGAGCACCCAAAAATAGTATTTGCAATTATGTAGGCCCCTGTCTAGACTTTGAAGTAACCAGGGAGGAAAAAGTATAGACTTTAATTTCATAATGCTTCCCTTAAGGAACAGGTCCCGAAAAAAAGTATTCAAGTATGGTACTCCAGAACCCAGCCGGATTTAAAATGAAAAGAGAAAAACCTCGAGGCCGCTAAGAAGTTGAAGCCAAAGGCGGAGTCCGACCAAGGCGCTGCGAACGACTTCGCCGCTCCCGCCAGATTCTGCGACGATTGAAAATTCAAACTCCGGTCCAAGACCAGGAACCCAGAGACTCCTAAGCCCCTTAATTGAGGAATATACCTGAAGCTATAATAGGATCCCCTGATATGATTTGAAGTATATTCCTGAATTAAGGAATACACCTTAAACTATAATAGGATCCCTGATATGATTTGAAGTCTATTCCTTAATTCAGGAGTTTGGGAGTCTCTGGGAAACCCTGAACCCTAAGCCTAGGATGCCTTTTTGTGAAGGCAGTCAGTCTGACAGCCCGGAGAGCAGAAGACGCTTCAGCTGATGCCCGATGCAGTCCTGGCTGGGGGAATTGACGGGTTCAGGGTTTAGGGGTTTAGGGGTTTAGGGTTTAGGGTTGAGGGAAAAATTTAGGGTTTAGGGTTTAGGGTTTAGGGTTCAGACCCCGGTATACATCCCACATAGCAGGATCCGAAGCACCCAAAGAAGGCCAGTGGCCTCAAAGCCCCCTCACCTGTACTGGGACGTCCCGGTGCATCCACAGGTCCTCGCCCAGGATGTCACAAAGACAGAAGGTGGCACGTGCCTGCAGCCCGTGTCAACTTGCGAGGCTTGCGATTGGGATTCTTGCCGAGCTGTAGAACAAGATAACAAGATCTGCTTGGAACTCCCATTCTGCAACATCGCACCGCGGAACAAAAACGGCTTTGCTTCGGCACTCGTTCTGAACTCTTCGTTTGCTCGGCCACTTAGGCCCCTTGTTTGTTCTGTTTCGCCCTCAGGACGGGTGATACTGGGACATGCTTCTCTTCGCAAGCTTGCTCGCACTTGATTCATGCACGGGGCTCAAGTTTCTCAAGGAATCTCTCTGACACTTTTCGCCCTACTCCCGGGTTGTTCGCTTCTATCGGCAGCATGCTTCAAGACAGGGCCCTAACAGCAGGACTTTCAGAAGGCACATCTCTGTACCCGATCACCGGGAGTGCAGGGAACGAGCCGCAGTCTTTTTGACTGCTCTCCGGGAGCTGGTCTTTCTTTGAGCGACCTACTATATGCCCCAAGCTTCGGTCTTCGACACCCCCGGCCTTTTTCACGGTGTCTGCTGAATCTTCGATCACGAAGAAGCAGATTACGATCAAGATCGGGGTGAAGATCCATAGACCTACCTGAGATTTATAACGGGCTTCGGCTTTCCAAGCCTTATAGGACTTATAGCAGTAGCGTAGGTTTTCGAAATTTCGAAAGTTGTCTTTTAGTGCAGCCTGGCCATGGAAGAGGTCTCAGGTATTGAGGGTTGAGGGCTTAGGATTTGGGGTGTCCCCTGCATGGTTGAAGTGTTGGAAGGTCTGCTGAGGATGCGGCGACGACTACCCAAAAGCTAGTATGGGGCGGGTCATGCCAATGGAAGCCATGTTTTGTCGCGTGGCCGTCGAACGTGTCCGCTTCAGAATCCGGTCCACGAAGGCAATGGACCAGCCGTGAATCGGCTTGCCTCCGGCACTCTTCTTTCGGCACTTGATGTAACCTCCCCTGAATCCGCGTAGCCCGAGCGGCATCTCCGGAGAAGTGCTGCATCTGTCTCGGAAGCGAAAGCCTCGAAGAGCCTCTGCTGCAAAGTGGCGTTTGCGAAGCTGAACCATTAGGGAGTTTCCGAAAATTAGGGGGTACCTTATTTTGGGGTCCTTATAATAAGGATCCTACTATTCAGGGTGCTATATTAGGGTCCCCTATTCTTAGAAGCCCCCATTAAACCCAAGCGAGAAGCTGATATCCTATCCTGCTGTCTCTGTCGAAAAGACACGAGAGGTTTGTCGTGCAGTCCTACGTGCAGCTAAAACCTCAGAGACCCTGTGCAAAAACAACAAATCTCATGCCGTGTAGACATCAACTTCCGTATGCGAGTACTTGCGATTCTCTGTGGTGCGCTATGTGTTGTTTTTCCGGCGTTACTGCTGTCTTGGCCCGTTTGGCTCGAGCTGCATCTCATCCACCGTGACAAGGAAGGTCAATGCCAGGCTGTTCCTGGATACTCTGGGGGTTGGTAATTGTGATAGGGTGTTGGGCTACATTATTTTAATTATAGTATGCGTATGGAAAGGAACTGTGGGAGTAATTTTTCAGGCCGCTCCTGGGCAAATGTCCGCGTCGGGGAGGTCTTTAAACTCGCTAAACTTCTGGAGATCAGTAGTGAGTTTGTTTATGCTGTCGGTAAGCTGGAGACTTTGCCGCCAAGCTTCAGGATCAAGTCAGAGACGTTCCGGACCGATAAGAGATACTTGATTCCTTGCAGCTGGACATCCCAAGCAAACCCTAGCTGCACGAGACTCCCAATGCTCGATCCAGCACAAGACTGCATCTGCGGCTCCAACATAAAAGATCAAGCATTGCAGCACCTGAAGCAATCACAGCTGAATGCGCAAGTCTTGTTCGAGTCTCACAGCTTCACATGGTTGGAGAATTCATAACGACAAATACTGGCAAGAACGGAATAGCCACACCTCAGGGAAACGAGCGGGAATAAAGTCTCGGATTCACACAACTCGGACATCCGGGGTGTAGAGGACGAGTTACGAGCTTATTTGAATTTTTTTTGCCAGGCACCGACCGCGGGCCCAGGTTCAACAAGATATTTATGATGCGGCTGCGACCTCAGAGCGAGGCTTTCGGACTGCCATTGCCGAAACACTTGGCGAGTGATGGTGTAGTTGGGAATGCCAGGAGCAAGGATGCTGAAAAGGCCTGCAACACACCCACCCAAGGCCCCAACGATGGATGCCACATACCTGCCAGAGGCAACGGTGTCCGTTGGCAACTGTTCGGTCTCTTCGCATTTTGCTGCACGCAGCTAGTGTAACTTGTGTGGGGAAGCAGCTGTCTGCGGAAGTATGCATCAGTTCAAGGGCGATACAATCAAACCAAGTCTGACTCAGCTTGCAGCCGCAGCTCCCTGTAAGATACGATCAAAGCTCTGCCACATGTGAAGCAGCCCTAAACCCTAGACCAGAAGGGTTCCTGTAGGTTGAGACGAATCTTGCAGACCATGGCAGCATGCCGATCCCTAAAGTCCTAAGCCCGTTACATAAACCCCTACTCCTAGGCTCAAAAAAATAACGCCGGCATAGTAACCCCTTATACTACATACCCTTTAGAGTCCTACAAACCCTGAGGCCTCCAATTCGTCCTCGCCGTGCTCATCTTCCACCTCCCGGGACACACCATCGCACAGAGAACATAACAACAGACTGCTGCATTTTTGTAGTATGGCATCAGAAAATAGAGCATTACCACGGCACTGTGATATTTTGCACTGTACTACACCCGACTGCCGTGCCGTATAACATAGCATAACATGATGCACTAGTATAGTACAGAATTGTTGTCCAGTCTAGTCGAGCACAGGCTAGTATAATATAGTATAGTATAGTATGGTATGGTATGGTCTGGTATAGTGCAAATAACTTACTATAGCGAAGTAGGGTATAACACGGTGAATTATAGTTCAGTGCCGAATAATTTAGAATATTTTGGTATAGCATAGCATACTAGAACTGAAGATGACTTGGCATAACATAACAATATATAAACACACATAACACAACCTCCATATTATCATGCAACATGAATATAAAAGTGAATACTCATAGTATAACATGATGTAAAGTCTAGAATATAAAACCTGTAGTACATAAACCATAACATCTAAAACAGAAGCGCTATACAATACAAAATATGCCATATCAAATCAAGTGCAAACTCTACAGTATATACTATGTAATACATGCTGCAATGTAACAATACAGTATGCTAGACTATACCGTAGTACAGTCCATGGCACATGTATCACACGATGTAACCTGACATACGTAACATAAACACGAACGCACATCTGAGGATCAGCAAACGGAAAATATCCACAAATACAAATATGCTTCACAGAATAAACACCTCAAAATATATAACAGTATAATGTAGTGTCATATAGTATAATCTGTTCTAGATAGCAAACTGGAACATAATATATAAGAACCGACCAGACCAGAACATGATAGACTATGATATGGCATGGTATAACATATTGCGATGTAGGATGATATGACATAAAGCAGTACGAGATGAAAATGCAGATTTCTGCATCGCATGTAGAGACAGGCCTAGAATGCGGGAAACACCGGCCTTTCCCATGAGACAATGCTCGCCCTTTTGTCGGGTTGGAAGAGTCAGAAGCACGTTCCTTGCAAGCGAAACCGCTGCCCGGATTCTTCATTCCCAATTCTAAGCTGCGCATGCAAGCGGTGTGCAACAGAGACTCCACCAAATCAGGATGAGGCGGGTTTCTTCCACCGCCGCCAGACCCCAAAGGAACCTGGACATCGACGGGCACTATTGGGCCTTCACAACTAGAATGGGGTTCTGGGTATATTACACAATAAGTATATAAGGTTGATTGATTTCGGGATACTGTTTCATGGAAGACTGATTCAACAGGCAACCGTGCCGTGCGGTCTGCTGGACCCGATGCAGCAGGGCAGTGATCTCAGAGCCAGCATAATTCTACGCTCTAACCTAAACCGACCCCTCAACCCGATGCCCCTACAGCCTCAAAGCTGCATTCAAAGGAACACAATCAGCAGCAGGAACATGCGAAACTTCATGGAGGTGAGGCCGAACTTCGGGTCATTGAACAGCGTGCTGGCCTCTTCAAACAGGGTGGTTGTACCCTGGAGGGTTTCTCGCTTACAGTGTATGTAGACCATATGAACCCAGCCCTCAACCATATGGGATGCCAAGCACACTGCAAGAATCTATTGCACACCTGATAGCCTCCAAACCTCATAAATCCTAGAAGCCCCAAGGGGTGACAGTGAGATGAACCGGCATATCTTTGCATCCCCTGACTGCACCTCGTAGGCCACGGTCCTCCTCTTGCCTTCCTGTGACATCACGAAACGCAAGGTGCATTATGGTTCCTCGGCTGTTCCTCGCTTTTAAGTTTGGGCTGTCTCGTCTAGTTTCTCCTTTCCCTCTGCGGCTTTACGTTCGCACTCTCTTGACTCGGACATGCCAGATGAAGGCATTCAGGGTTTAGCGTTGCTATTACAGACATTGCCTTTGTCAGCAATGTCTTCATTACGAAAGAAAAAACTAGCGGGGGAATAGCATGTTTGATTGCGCAAGCACGGAAGGCTGCGACTTGTAGCAGACCTATACCCAGGCTCCTAACACCTTAAGGCCATGCCAAGTGGACCCCTCGCACCATCGAACCATTGAAGACCAGGTGAGTTCCCAGAAATGTGACTTCGTCACTCCGAGTTTTTATCCCACGATGTGCTCTGACTCTAGAGCCCCCAACAAAGACTGCTATGAAGCCTCTTAAGTAAGGGCTTCAGAGTTTAGAGTTTTTATGGGGCACTAGGGCGAAGTGCGCCATGTCAGATGCCATGGCTCGATTCGGCTTGACTTGGCCCCGCAAACATCGTTCCTTTCCTTGGTTCCACGGGTGCGCGTTGGGGCACCGAAGGAGTGGCTGAATACCAGCCCGCTACATAGCACAAAATGCTTCCGACTGCAGAAAAGTCCAAACATAGAAACAAAGCGATGCATTGCTCTTCTAATTTGGGTCTACTTTGCACCAACACTACTAACGTCTCCGTGCAGCATCACACCGTGACTTCTCTCACCTGCTTCTGCCAAGTTGCCTCCTTGAAATGGTTAGTTTGGATCGTGAACAGCTTGGGGCAGAAAGACGTAACGGTTCGTCTGCATATCTCCTCCCAGGCACCACATTGCAGTGTCCGGCAGGATCGGATTGCCCGACAGCATTATACAACCTACAGCTCAGCGACAGCAGCCCAAGACACTGTTGAGCAAACAGGCAAGAAGCTGCAGCAGCGGCAGCGGACGACGACTACAACTCCAAGTACGGCTCGGCCACGACTAGACCTGCGACTACGACTATCACTACTATACCACACCACTACTACTGCGACTACCTCCCCCTACCGCTGCCACCACTACCACCACCAGCATCACCACCACCACCTCCACGCTTACGACTACTACGACGACGAGTGCGAATGTAACTATGACTACGACCACGACTACGATGACTGCGACGAAGACTGCTGCAGGTACTGCTACTGGTCCCGCTGCTGCTACTGCTCCTGCTAC